AACAAAAGATAATGAAACTGGCGAAAGGTGACAAAACTGATGAAAATTAAGAAACTGATGAAACTGCAAAGGGTATAAATCTAATAAAAGATGAGAAACAGAAGCAAGTGTAAGTAAGAGTGCTATTGGCTTCTATATTTATGTTTATATAAGACTAAAATTTAAAATATACAATTATATCAATTTTAATGAGTAACTTAGAGTTTAGAACCATATTCGGTCTTTAATTTTAAAACTAATTTTATTTGATTTGAATTTGAATTTGAATATGAGATTTATTTAATATAAAGACTGGTTTTAATAAAACCAGAGATATTTGGATTTATACAATACAATAAATTAAAATTCAGTCAATTGGTTTTATGAGAAATTATAAAAGTATAATAAGGTACTGTGAGGTTAATTAAAAGTATAATGAGATATTGTGAGTTTAATTAAATATCTAATTCATTGTATAATATATAATATTTATAAACATAAAATCATATATAATAAAACTGGCTAAACTGAAGCAAACAAATATATTAAAACCAGATTAAATTTGAAGCTTCACATTTGAATTAAATAAATTTAGATTTAAAAAACAAATCCCAGTTCCAAACTCTAGAGTAACTTAAGAAGTAATTTATCAAATTAGCACAATTAAGATTATTGTATATATTTCTGTATATTGATATCCTATTGGCTAAATCAATAAAAGTCTTTTTATTAATAAATTAGTACAGATAATAAAAATTAATAAGAGGTGTATTCACACATCATTATCAGTTAACTCTTTTCAACAATTACTTGGACCAAAATTTCCTATAAAAGAAAAGTCAAATTTGGATACTGGAGAATAGAGTATACCTATAGTGGGTAGACAACAGGAGCAGTTTTTATAAAGATCAATCTTTTGTGCTTTATGGGGACTCCTTTAATATATTCAACATGCAAGCTGAAAGTGTCTTTATACAAAATAACAGGCTAGAGAAGTGTGCCCTCATTGGGAAAATAAATATAGTGCAGGTCTGCACAGATATGTGACCCTGAAAAATTTTAACAAATTTCACGATATCTCATAATCTAGTGATCAGAACTTAACAAATCTGGTACCATTCGAATCGTCTCGATGAGATAGATCGAATGGTACTAAAATTATTAAAATTCAATTACTGGGTCACGAAATAATCGCATTTAAATGAATTTAGCAGCCATCTCACGATCTTGTTAACCAGCAGTCCAAATTTAATTATTTTGATACCATTCGATTCCTCTTGATAAGACGGTTCGAATGGTACCAAAAATGTTAAAATCAAATCACTGGGTCATGAGATATTCATGAAATACGTTTTACGGCGCAGTTTTGCACGGATCTGCACAAAAAATTCCACAAATCTGCGCAAAACTGCGCTGTGAAATGTAATTCGTGAATATCTCGCGAGCTAGTGATTTGATTTTAACGTTTTTAGTACCATTCGAACCGTCTCATCGAGAGGAATCGAATGGTACCAAAATCATTAAATTTGGACTCCTAGTTAACAAGATCGTGAGGTGGCTGCTAAATTCATTTAAATGCAATTATCTCGCGACCCAGTGATCGAATTTTAATAATTTTATTACCATTCGATCCGTCTCATCGAGACGGTTCGAATGGTACTGGATTTGTTAAGTTCTGATTACTAAATCATGAGATATCATAAAATTTGTTAAAAATTTCCAGGGTTACAGATCTGTGCAGATCTGCACCATATTTATTTTCCTGATGCTTGTATATAAAATTTCAGTAGGGATTATGGTTTTCTTCCATTGACGAAGCAAACTATTGTGACACAACTAGAAAACAGTGAAGAACTTTCTATTCTTAAGCTACACTCTTTTACCTGACCAAAGTGACTTCTATTTTACTCACTTTCGCTTTCCTGCTAGCTTTCCAAAATTTTTTATAAAAAGTGGAGATTTGGCTTACCTCTTCCAAAAAATCAGCATTGTTTACTTTCCAAATTCGGCCGGATTAGCAAAATGCAACCATGTGTTTGTTTACAGACGAATATAGCACTACTTCATGGGACTCAGTCTAACCCTCGGGCAACAGAGCTATCTAGAGTTGTTGGAAAGGTTAGAAAATAAATTAAATATTAAGGCGAAGCTTTATAGTAGAAATATACAAATGTTGCAGTTGTTATATAATTTTTATTAGCCATGCACAGGTTATAATAGTGCCTTCAGGGTTTTAGATTTCTTTTCATAATTTTTCTTTTTCGCAATTAGTATTTCTTTTTTCTTTTCTGTTTTTTCTTTTTCTGGTTGTTTTCGTATTTTTCTTTTAAAAATTTCACTCTTTTGTCTTGTGCCTCTTGAGAAGAAAGAAGAATTAGAAGGGAAAAAGAGCCTGTTAGTGATTGAGAAAGGTATCGTTTCAATAATCAAAATCTGAAGTAAGTTTTGGATCCCAAGTAAGACTAATAGTTGTTATAGCAGATCACATTAGGTTTAACCTTGTGAGTTTTTATTGAGTTAGAGCTACAAGTTGTAAGGATTTAGTACATTTGTGTATATGAATTTTATAACAGTTCATATAAATAAAGGCAGGATCACTTAAATAAAAAATAAGAGATGCATTCATACATTATTTTCAAATCTTCAATTATAAAATTTATGTAATTGGCTTTTCAAAACCTAAATGTACAAGCTGGGTTATGCCAATAAACATCTTTGGTATTAAATATAAAATGGCTTATTTGCTATTTATAATTGGCTTTTTAAAACCTAAATATATAAAGCCAATAAACATCTTCAGTATTAAATATATTAAAAAGCCTCATTAATGATTTATCAATAGATTAAATATCTAAAATTATAGAGATAATTTTATTAATTTTATTAATAGCTTCATCAAAACCAATATTTCAGTAGTAATTTTTTAGTGAGAGAAGTAGGGATTTACTATTATCATAAAGTTTTATTAATCCAGCTTTTTTTAGCTTGAGCACTAGGGTTTCATCATTTTGAATTTAGATTTCATCTTTCATCAGCAGAATTTGAGATTTTGTCTTTCGTAAGGGATTTTGGGGTTTAGGTTTCATCTAATAGTTTATGTTTTTAAATCCAATAACCTCACAAAACTGAAGCAAACTCTGTCTATTATACATACCAATTTTGAAAGAGTCGACTGTATTATATTTTCTTAATAGTTTATTTTTTTACAATATTAGAAATAATACTATTTCAAATTTGATATCTATTTGCATATATCTTTAGTGTTTGTTTCTTACATAATTGCAAATCAATTATTATAAAACCTTTTATTGCTTATTTATTGTTAGTCTTTGTATTCTATAAAGAATAGTAGAAGCTATTTACTTATTATTGTCTTTGTAGTTAGATGTAATACTACTATGTTGGAGTGTAGATAATTTATTAATATTAGTTCTAGATATTCATCTTATTTTAATTTTTATGCTTGCATAACCTACTCCAGTTTAGTTGTATCAAATATATTGAATAATAAAGTTTAATAGAATTGGTAATAAAAGTTACTTTTATAAAATTTTTACTAAAAATTTTAAAGCCAAGTTCTGAATAATATCTATAGAAAGAGTATAAAAAAGACAACACTTTATAACAAAAACTTTGGTAAAATTATAATATTGAAATACTATCTGTAAAAATAAATTATCAAAATATAAAAAATAAAATAATATATAAAAATGAAATACAGTCTTTAAAAATAAAATAGCAAAATGTAAAAGATAAATAAAATATAAAAATGTAAAAGATAAAATAAAAAAAGTCTAAAGAAAGTTAAAATAAAAAAAATCTAGAGAATTTGAAATTTAGAAGCATAATTTATAAATTATTTTTTACTTTCAGTATTAGTAAAATAGTATTCAAAGTTTTTTTTTTGAATAAGATGATTTATTAATATCAGAAGACTCATATACATGTTTTCTAATAATTTTATTTAAATCATTTTCATCAATTTGAATTTTATTGGTATACTTATCTTCTATCTAATTTTTTAAATATAAGCTAGCTCTAGCAGTTTCTGGCAGTAAACGTGTTATGGAACAATGGGACATATAGTGCACTTTGTAAAAGGAATACAGTTGATATGACTTAGAGTTTATTGAAATTGTATAGCAAAATAACAATACAAAAAAAAAGGGGGTTTTCTCTTTTCAAAGACTTAAATTAGATTGATCAAACTGTTACATAGTCCACGTGACCCATGTGCCCACGTGACTCATGTGATGTTTGATCAGGTGCGAATAGTGGAAGAAAGTCTGAAATTGATTAATAGGTGGCGTACATGGTAAATACCAAACTTAGTTATAACATAATAATGTGCATGATAAATGTTATAATAAATTTAGAAGAGAATAGCAAATTAGTAATTAATTAATAGTTAAAATGCATATGAGCAAAAGATAATGTAATTTGTAAAAGTGAAAAAGCATGTATAAAATTGCAAAAAGAAAATAAAGGTCTAATTAGTGTTTTTCACATAAATCATCGTCCCATACATAATAGTTAAATACAAACCAAATTTGTGCCCTTGTGTAGCCCATAAGTTTACTGTAACACACTATCTTTGAGGTAGATTTTAGTAGTATTGACTACTATTAACTCTCTTGTCAATGTGTTTGAGTTTTACAGATAGTAAGATCAGCTAAAGAAAATGCTTGTTTAGATGCTATACTAGTAGCCTGTATACAATGATAATCATGGGCTATTCTTGATAATACTGGATATTTACGTTGGTGTGTATTTCATCACAATAATGGATTTGTATCAAATTCAGGTAGATTACTTACAGTAAATAATAAGATATTTCATCAGAATAGTTTTTGATCATGTAATTTCTTATTTAAAACATTCTGAAAATATAAACATGATGAAGGCTATTGATTTAAGAGTAGTGGTTTAGTGCTATTTGGAGATTGATATTTAGTAAAAATTAATTGTAACTTTTGATTAATATTATTTTGTTGTTCACTAGTTAAGGTTATAAGTTTAAATCAAGGATCAAAAACTGTTAATAATATTGAAGTTTTATCCAAAGCTAATTTCCAATAATCATCTAATTTTTTAAGAATTAATTTAACAACTACATTTTGAGAATTAGAATTTATAAAATTATTTAAAATATTAAATATTCCAAGAAATGACAAACACATATCACTAATTGCTAAATATTTTGATGTTGATAATAATTGTGTAGCTTCATATATAGATTGAAGAATGTGTTCAAGATTTTGTAATTGAGACTTCATTTTCATTAGAATATATACCTTTTAAGGCTTGCTTATTATTAGAAACTAGAATTTCATTTATATTTTTATTTTTTAATTGCCATTGAATTATTAAAAAGGTTGAGTTCTATTTTGTACTAATATCAATTATTGGTGATAAATAATTGATATTTTTTAATAAACAAATTTGTTACATTTCATCAATTAATTGTGGTGATTCTTTAAGTTTGCTAACCTAATGATGAAGTTCTTTTAATTCAGGTCCTACTACTTTTAACTCTTGTTGAACAGCTAAGTTAATGATATGAGCAGCACAATAGTAATGTGAAAAACTCATATTATACTGTTTATTTTCTAATTCATTTGCTATATTAGTTATTAAGCTTATTACATAATTATTTAAGTTAAAATTATTTAAAATATTATATAAAAACTCAACAATATAAAATACAGCATGTTTCTTATTCATGGGAATAACATATAAAAGAATTTTTTTAATTCCTATTCATAAGTAATAAAATATGCAGTTAATGACAAATAAGATTCATTAACTGATGAGGACTATATATCTGAGGTTAATATAATTTTCTTAGGAGTATTACATATGAAACTTTTACAAATTTTTAATCATTGTGTATTAAAAATTTTAATAATAAGATTTCTAATAGTTTGACAAGTTGGTATTTTGTATTTAGAGTTAAGTGCATTAATAAGTTTATGAAATTGTGGATTTTCAACAATTGAAAAGGGTTGAAGGTCTGCAATTATCCAATCAGCAAGACAATGAATAATAGTATATGATCCATTCTTGGAAGAAATATAGGTTTCATGATGCTTGTTATTAAGATAACAATGTAATATAGAAGTAGCAAAGAAAAAGTAAGCAATATTTATATAAATCAGTTTACTAATTTTTTTTATTTTTAAATCAATATAATTGTGTATTCTAATATGCACTACTATTATTATTTTAAATTATAATATACAAAATCTATTAAATTCATAAAATTCTATAATACCCATCCTATCTATGAATTATTTTGAATATATCTATATGCATTATTTCAAATAATAATTGAACTTGGATAATTGATAAGTATACTCATATAAAATAAAGTAGTAAATATTCATTATATTATAATGTCAAGAAATACTCATAAACTTACTTTAAATATTTAGATTATTAAATGCAGAGTCCCTTAATACGTACATCTATCTAGCTAGCTATTATTACAAGCTATATATAATTACTAGCTATATTAGAAGACATATTAATTTAGAACAATTAGATGCTAATAAGATTATATATACTGTTTTTAAAAATATAACTTTCAAATAATGTGTAAATATTATTTTTGCTTGTATGGTATATCAATCTTAATTATTATTATAATATAAAATGCTATTTTATGAATTCTGCAAATTATCAATTTCTTGCAATAATGATATACCAAATTCAAACAGGAAGAAATATACCTAATCCAAACTTAATCTCATATATAAAAAATCTTTTTGCAATAATATGCACTTAACCACAAATATTACAAATATAATCACTTACAATTTGGATCGAGTATGTTTTCTTCTGTTCCAATTTCATAAAGTTTATAAATTCTATAATTGCACTAATTTGAAACTATTTCTTGATACTATATGTATTATCTTGAAATCAAATATGCTATTTTTAAAGAATTCAGTTTTACTAGTTAAATCATGAGTTTATAAGATAAAACATAAAAAAAATATTATCAATTTTGATAATGCTTTAAATTTAAATTTATTGAACAAAACATCCGCTAAGTCTATTAAAGCATACTAATTCTGAATAAAAACTTATCTATTATATTCATTAACTCTATTGAGACATGCTGGCATGCCGACATGCTAGTTAATAGCTGTTTATTGAAGTATTACAATTTGGATAACAAGCTAAAAATCTACAATAAAACTAATTATAGCAATTTCATTAATTGTTTAGAGTTTCAATAAAGTATAGAAAAATAATAATGACTTTCTAAGTCTACTTTTATTAAAAAAAATATAGATAAAACCTATTATTATATCTATTAGTTTTATTAGTACAAGCCAATGTTTTGGGCGAAGCTACTTTCCAAATCTGAAATGTTTTACCCAAAAAAATTTTAGTTTTGCACTATAAGTCCAAATCTAGTTTTGCCCAATTTGATCTGCAAATAATCTGCAAATTTGGGTTTTGCCTGAAATATTGGTATAAGCTAATTAGAATAAAAAGATAAAGACACAAAGATAAATGCTAGTTGATAGTTATTTATCAAGGTTTATTAAAGCATACTAGCCCTGGATAAAAAGATAAAAAGTAAGTCTAATTATAAAAAAATATATCAATAATCCTATAAATTTATTCATTAAAAAAAATCTTATCAATTATATTTACTAAATCTATTGAGGCATGTTGACATGCCAACATGCCAGTTGATAGCTGTTTATTGAAGTATATTGAAGTACACTAACCCTGAATAGGATGCTAAAAATCTATAATAAAGCTTATTATAGCAATTTTATTAATTATTTAGAGTTTCAATACAAAGTATATATAGAAAAATAATAATAATTTTCTAAATCTACTTTATTGAAGAAAATGTAGATAAAACTTATTATTATATACTAACTTTTATTAGTGCAAACTAACTTTGGATAAAAGATAAAGACACAAAAATAAATGCCAGCTGATAATTATTTGTTAAGGTCTATCTATTGAAGTATACCAGCTTTGGATTGAATAGAAAATAAAGAGATAAGCCTAATTATAAAAAATACATCAATGATCCAATAAATTCATTCATTAAGAAAATTTTATCTATTGCATTCACTGACTCTATTGAGGCATGTCAATATGCTGACATGCTAGTTGATAGCTATTAATTGAGGTATATTGAAGCATGCTAACCCTGGATAGAATACTAAAGATCTATAATTAAACTAATTATAGCAATTTCATTAATTGTTTAAAGTTTCAAAAAACAAAGTATAGAATAATAATAATAAATTTCTGAATCTATTTTTTAAAAAAAAAAAGTAGCATTATATCCATTAGGTCTATTGAAGCAAGTTAATTTTGGATAAGAGATAAAGATACAGAGATAAATTCTAGTTGATAATTATTTGTTAAAGTTTATTGAAGCATACTATCCCTGGATCAAAAGATAAAGATATAAGCCTAATTATTAATCATTTAAAATCTACAAAATAAAGTATAAAAAAAAGTGCTAGTAATTCTTTTAATCTATTTCTAATTGCTTTAAGATAAATCAAAACATATTAAGCACAAATTTATAATATTACAACCGAATGATTATAAGACATCATAGAACTTATTTTTTGTCTTTAATTCTTTATGCTTGGGTTTCATTTTTTGCCATTTATATAAATGGTTTGGCTAACAACTATACTCAATGCATTTTTGAAAAGTATTTTGAATATTTTATAAGCTTTGAATCAAATAAAATTGTGCATTAAAAAAAGTATATTTGCACCTGAATATCAATATCATTTCTTTAATATCTTTTTACTAAATGACAGTATAAATTAGTGAAGACATTTATTATCTTACTTCTTATTACTTGCCATCATTCAAAACAACAAAAATAGCTTAATACTTTTAGAAAAATAAAAATTTAATAACAGTAGAAATTTTGTTCACATGAAGAGATTTTTATTCAAATAAATAATCTATTGTTGTATTCGATATCGATAAATACTTTGTATTATGTACCAATATCTATATATAGTAAGAACATGGTCCGGATCATCAGTTTTGATCTCATAATCTGGATCAGACCGATTTTATCATCCCTAGCTATACATTCTAATCAGATCAAATTTTTTATCATACTTGGTTTGTATTTATAATTTTTTAAAAAAGGCTGTATAAATTGTAGTATCATATAATCATTTCTAATCACAACATAAAGTCCTTGCATTGCTATTATAGCCATGGAGTTTAGTTGCGAAGCTTAATTGCCAAGTATAATGTTTTGCTTTGCCTGCAGCAGCCATAATCCTTGCATTGCTATCGTAGTTACGGTGCTTAATCTAATCATGACACAAGGTCCTTGTATAGCTATCACAGCCACAAAGCCTAATCAAAACGTATAATCTTTGTACTGCTTTCATAGTTGTAAACTCTATAAAATAAAATAAAAATCAAGATTTTATTTAATTTTGTTCAGATTATTATTTTAAAAAA